CGGCGCGATCACACAAGCGTTTAGTGTTTGTGTGCATGTGCAGTTTTGCGGAGCAGCACTGCTTTCAGTTTCGTGTTTGAGCGCATGTGCTTACGAAAAACATCTGGTTTGTGACGGGATGTGGACGGGCGCCGGATGCCATGGGATACTAGCGCTCCCGCAATCAGACGCCCGCCTGTGCCGCGCGTTTTCCAGATAGTAGTGCACTTTCCTTGGTACTTTTTAACTCCGCATCTTCAGCGGGATGCCACAGGTTGGCCACGGGTGCGCTACACTTCCCAGATGTTGCGGTGTGATCGCGCCCCAAAAATCCGCCCAACATTCATGCCTTTCGCGCGGCAAATTCTCCATGTGACCGGGGCCTAGGACTTTCAAGTTGACAATGACTTAGATAAAAGTGAAACCAAGAAGTTTGTAAACTCTTTAACTTGCCCTAGACTGTCTTGCTGGCCACTCTAGTTAATCCCCACCTTTAATATTATTTTAGAAGAAAAGGTCCAGCTGGTGAGTTCCCCAGGGTCAGGAAAGGGTGGACTGGTGAATGCCCATTTAAAATCAGATGAACTCAGATTTGAGATCTCCGGTCTTTAATTTGCAAGTTTCTATGTTTTGCTTAAAAAACCCCAACCCAGAACAGAATAGGGAAATGGCTGAGCAGTCGCTGCTGAGTGAGCCATTTTGGTTATCTTTGACGTTCGGTCTGCAAAGATAATGATGAGTAAGTGTCGTGTGGCTGAGCCAGGACTTCTCTGCCCTTCAGAGAGAGGCACAAAGGGACATGCTTGCAAACTCATGGGGTGGGAACTCCCAAATGAAAAAAGAGATGGGAAAGGAAAATGTTTTTTTAAAAAGTCATATAAAGTTGAATGCCCAAAAGTTTCTAAGATGTATACAGACAATACTGAAAACAGACACACAAATACTTGATCAAGTGGGCGGTGGTTCCGTTTTAGTGCGTTTGGCTGCGTTCGGGTTGCTGTCCAGTGGGCAGGATTCATGCTTCAGAGAAGCACTGTGCTCCTGGCGTGCAGGCTTGGGGCTCTCCTCTGTGCCGTTGCAGTATGAAAGGGGCTCCTCTTTACTCAGGAACTTAAAGTCTGTGCTTGGTTTTGCCCGCGGTTTGGACTCTGGGATCTCAGCGCTCTCCTCTACCACACGTGGCCCCGTCCACTCAGGAATCTCCAGTTCCAGGTGCTTCATCAGCTTCGTCATGACCTCGTCCACATAACCATGAATCCGCAGGTCAGCGTGCTTGTCCTGAGATCAACAGATGGGAATTAGGAAAAAATGTAACTCTGGGTTGGCTGCTGCCATTTTTCATTACTGAATTTTTGGCTTCTAACTGATACATGTTAACAGTCCTGGAGATCTGCACCGAAAAGTGGAAAAAAGTATCTACATATTTAATAGTGACGTCTGGCCCCCATCTGCGGATACCAAAATCCATGGACTGGGGCCACCACAATGATGCAAAAGAGATTTTTTCTTCAAACTTGGGGGACCCCCTAGGTTTGCACAAAAACCTGAATTCCTAACAAAAATATATTGGGGAGGGGGGTTAAACCCCCCCCCCAACTGTCAGAACAGACAATGCATTTACCAGCAGAGCTGCTGGTGGCCGCTGCAAGGAGCCACTTTGGGCTCAGCCATTGTAGTGGAGAAGAAGAAGAGATTGGATTTATACCCCGCCCTTCACTACCCAAGGGAGTCTCAGAGCAGCTTACAAACTCCTTTCCCTTCCCCTCCCCACAACAGACACCCTGTGAGGTAGGTGGGGCTGAGAGAGCTCTGACAGAAACTGCTCTTTTTCAAGGACAGCTCTTATCAGATCTATGGCTTGCCCGAGGTCACCCAGCAGCTGCGAGTGGAGGAGTGGGGAATCAAATCTGGTTCTCCCAGATTAGAATTCGCGCACTTAACCACTACACCAAACTGGAGGATACCAGAAGCCATGCCAGGCTCAGCCACTGTGGTGGAGGATGCTGGGAGCTGCTCCTGGGCACCACCACTGCAGCCACCAGGCTCAAAGGTGGGTGGGGAGCCCAGAGCCAGACAGGCTAGGCAATGGGGGGGAGAGAGAATGGGATTCACCCTCTGCAAATCTCACGTGCCCCCTGCTTGTCTTAATAAATCCCAATGGTGCCCAGTGTGTAGACTTTCTGGTTCACCACAGTGTTGAACAGGACCCTGGGCCAGGTGGGCATCCTTGGTCTGATCCAACATGGCTGTTCTTACGTCCATATAAGGCTATCTTTAAAAAATAAACAAGTCTGGGGTGGTTGACGAAATAGGGTCCAACTCAGTGATTTTTAATTACTTCACTTATATACCCTGCCTTTCTACCCAGTTGGGGACACAATATGGTTTACATCATTCTCCAGTTTTACCTCACAACAGCCCTGTGAGGTAGGTTAGGCAGAGAGAGAGAGAGAGAGAGAGAGAGAGAGAGACTGGCCCAAGGTCACCCAGCGAGCTTCCATAGCAGAGGGAGAGGATCTGAACACCACACCACATTTTCCCCCCAGCTGTCATTTTAAAAATTAAGTACACCACTAGCCCTTTTTTTACTGGCAGATCTAAGGGCTGGTAATACAGATTATAGCTGAACCACTGCCTTCAGTAAGAAGTCAGCCTGGCCCTGTCCGTCAGCATTCTGTTCGACGAGAACAAAATTGTTGCGATGACCGACAAGCGGTTTTTATTTTTAAATTAAAAAATGATCAAAATATCCATATTTAAGAACATTAAAACCTACTGGCTAGCTATATTAGGGTTGGTGACTGTGGACAATACTATGGTGCATATTTTATACCATCTGTTCCTATAAGTGGGCTCCTGCTATGTCATACTTGCTTTTGTTTAACAAGTCATGAGAAGAAGAACAAGAAAAAGAAGAGATTGGATGTTTACCCCATGGCCCTTCACTATCTGAAGGAGTCTCAAAGCGGGTTACAATCCCCTTCCCTCCCCCTCCCCACAACAGACACCCTGTGAGGTAGGTGGGGCTGAGAGAGCTCTCTCGAGAACTGCCTTTGAGAGAACAGCTCTGAAAGAACTTATGACTGACCCAAGGCCACACCAGCAGCTGCAAGTGGAGGAGTGGGGAATCAAACCCGGTTTTCCCACATTACAGTCTGCGCTCCTTACCACTACACCAAACTGGCTGTGCTTCACCTCTGGTTGGTTTTCCAGATCTCTACTCGTCAAATGCCTCTTGCATTGTCTTTTGGATGTCCTGCGCTGTTGATGGTGTTGATCTATTCTATGCAACCCACCTTAAGTCTCAGTGAGAAAGGGAGACTGTCAAGAACGTAAATAAATAAACACATAAAATTCGGACTCTGGATTCTTTAAGTACATAAGAGAAGCCCATGTTGGATCATGCCAATGGCCCATCCAGCCCAACACTCTGTCACACAGTGGCCAAAAATACCAGGTGCCATCAGGAGGTCCAGCAGTGGGGCCATAACTCCAGCAAGCCCTCCCACTGTTGCCCCCCCAAGCACCAAGAATACGGAGCATCCTTTGCCCCACACCGAGAGTTCCTATCTATACCTTGTGTCTAACAGCCACTGATGGACCTCTGCTCCATATGTTGATCTAATTCCCTCTTGAAGCCGCCCATGCTTGTAGCTGCCGCCACCTCCTGTGGCAGTGAATTCCATCTGTTAATCACTCTTTGGGTGAAGAAGGACTTCCTTTTATCTGTTCTAACCCAACTGCTCAGCAATTCCAACCACCCTCTGCCTACGCCACAACATTTCTGTCTACGGGTCTAGGGAAAAACAGGTTGCTTACCTATAACTGGTGATCTTCGAGTGATCTGTGCATTCACACCCATGAGATTCAATGCGCACATGCTGGATCGATCGGCATTGTAGCAAGCTCTTTAATGGATTTTCGCACCCAGACCTCGGGCATGCACAGGAACCCCACTGTGCATGCCCAGAGGGGTGGGCGCAGACATCCCGCCAGTTCCTTCAAACCGCCGCAAATCAACCCCTATGGAAAATGTAGAAGCTGACCGCAGCGGGGAAGGAGGGCGGGTGGTGTGAATGCACAGATGACCACTCGAAGATCACCAGGTACAGGTAAGCAACCTGTTTATCTTCGACGTGGTCTCTGTGCTTCACACCCATGGGAGATTAGCGAGCATTGGCCTACCTGGAGGAGGGTGCTGGCAGGTCCTTACTGCGTAGCCGAAGATAGAATGTGACATCCCATGTTGGTATTAGAGTTCTTCCGGACGTCTAGGGTGTAGTGCCTGATGAAGGCATTAGGCGTGGCCAACGTAGCAGCTTTGCAAATGTCCGGCAGTGGAAGCTGCAACAGCTCGGGTTGAATGGGCCCTGATAGGGCCAGACAATGGCTGTTTGGCGATCAGATAGTAGAGGCGGATGAGCCCCGCAATCCACCTTGAGAGGCGCTGAGCCGTGATGCGAGTCCCCAGCCTTGCTGATGTGTACGAGACGAACAGTTGGGAGTCACGTCTCGCTGGGCGGGTTCTGTTCAGGTAGAACAGGAGTGCACGCTTCACATCCAAAGTGTGTAACAGTCTGTCCTCTGAGGATGTCGGAGCCGGAAAGAAATCCGGGAGGAAGACCTCTGCCTGTAGGTGGAATTCTGACACTACCTTTGGCAGGAACGAGATGTCAGGGACGAGGCGGACGCCATCTGGCAGAAAAGACAAGTAAGGAGTGTCATGTCTGAAAGTCAGTATTTCTCGAACTCGCCTTGCAGAGGTGACAGAAACCAGAAAGGCCGTCTTCCACGACAGAAATTTCATTTCGGAAGTTGCGAGTGGCTCAAAGGATTTCCTCGTGAGCTGACAAAGAACTAGAGGAAGGTCCCAGGGAATGAGTTTTGACAGGAGGGTAGAGATGCAATAAACCTTTTAAAAAACGTTTTGAAAGCGGATGTGAAAGCAGTGTGCACCCATCAACTTGAACATGGTAGGCCGAAAGTGCGGCCAAATAAACTCTTAACGAGGAGTGAGAGTCCCGAGTCAGCAAGGGACAGGAGGAATTGGAAAACTTTCTCAAGACCCACGGAGGTGGCTCGAGAAGCATTGTCACCCAAGGAGGAACAGAACCTTTGCCATTTGTAATGGTAGGACTTCCGCGTGGTAGGCTTTCTTGCGTTTAATAAAATGTTTGCTACGCAGGTGGAAAAGCTGTTGACGCTATTCTCCAGGCCGTCAACTTTATCCGTGACACGTCATGGTACAGAAGAGGAGAGTTGGACAGGAAGAGGAGGTCCTGTGCCGGAGGGAATTGATGGTAGACCCCTGCTGACAACTCGAGGACGGTCGAGAACCATGGTTGCCTCGGCCACCGCGGGGTTATTAAGATGCAGTCCGCTCCGTCTCTGATGATTTTGCGAACCACTTTCAGAAGCAGGGGAAAGTGGAGGGAACAGGTAAAGAAGGCCTGTGGACCACGGATAGAGGAGACCGTCTCCTAGAGACTGTGGATCCCTGCTGCCTCGACCACAGATCAAAGGACATTTTTCGTTGGCTCTGAAAAACATCTACTTGGGGAACTCCCCACCTGCGTAAGAGTGGGAGGAGATAGGTTGGATTCATCTCCCACTCGTGAAGGCTGAGTCCTGCTCGACTCGGATGGTCCGCCTGCACGTTCATGTGTCCAGGGATGTCTGTGCCTACGAGGAAAACATTGTTGGCGATGCAAAGGCTCCACAACTGGATGGCAAGGTTGCAGAGGCGTAGGGAGACAGTGCCCCCTTGCCTGTTGACATAGCTGAGTGCAGTAGTGTTGTCCGTGAGGACCATGACACATTTCCCTTTGATCACAGGTAGGAAGCTGGTGACAGCATACTGTATTGCCAGCAGCTCCAGGAGGTTTATGTGCCGGCTCCTCTTTTACGCGTCCCATTTGCCTCCAACACAAAGGCCCATTGTGTGGGCACCCCAGCCCGTCAGGGAAGCATCCGTTGTTAGGGTGATTTGGGGTGACGGAAGATTCCAGGTGCTCCCTGGAAAAGATTGGAAGGGACAGTCCACCAAAGTAAAGACTCTCATATACTGGGAGGGGGGGTTAGGACGGTGGTATGTGCATTCTTCATGGTATCGAAGTTGCGGATAAACCACAGTTGCAGGTGGTGCATTTTTAGTTTTGCGAAGACCAGGACCGATGTAGTTGCGGCCATAAGGCCGAGTAGCCTCTGTATCTGGAAGGCCGTAACTGAAGGTTGGGTACGGACGACGGTGGCTAGGTGGATGATGTCTGCCGTTCTGTCTTGTGGCAGGTAAGCCATGCATGTCTTGGAATCCAGTAGAGCACCGATGTACTGTATTTTTTGGACCGGTTGAAGCTGAGACTTTTGCAGATTGACTTGCAGACCCAGGTTTTCCAAGAGTACCATTGTCTCATTGATGTTTGAGACCAGAGTGTCCTTGGAGGATGCTACCAAGAGCCAATCGTCGATGTACGGGTAGATGGAGATTCCTTTGAGACGGTGGAAGGCCGCCACCACAATCACAGTCTTTGTGAAGACTCTTGGGGCGCTTGAAAGACTGAATGGTAGGGCTGCATATTGGTAATGCTGTTGACCAATTGCGAAGCGTAGGTATTGACGGTGGGAGGGGTGGATGGTGAGGTGGAAGTACGCGTCTTGGAGGTCGAGGGTGGCCATCCAGATGTTTTTCCGGATAAGTAGCATAATCTGCTGTAAGGACACCATGCGGAAGCGGTGGTAGGTGACATAACAGTTCAGCTCCCTTAGATCTAATATGGGTCGAACGCCTCCATCCCGCTTTGGGACTGTGAAGTATCGGGAATAAAATCCTGTCCCGTGGAGCTGTGGTGGTACCCGCTCGATGGCTCCCTTTTGCAGAAGGACAGACACCTCATCTAGGAGAGGCGGGGAAGGGTGTGTGGAGACTACGATGGGAGTAATGGGGTTCTGGTGGAATTGGATACGGTAGCCTTGGGTCACGATGGACAGCACCCATTCGTCCGAGGTTATATGACGCCAGGCGTGAAGGAAGGGTGACAGACGGGTTTGAGCTGACTCGGTGGGAGGGAAGTCAAAAGCCCTGCTTGGAGTACTTTGCTTGTTTTGTGCGGGAGGATTGTTGTACAATTCCAAACTTAGGCTTTTGAAAGGAGGGTTTTTGACCACCCGAAGCCGTACGCGGTCTCCATTGTCTATCAGGAGACTGACGATTCGGGGTGCATCTTTGCCAGGGCCTAGACCAGGTCCGAGGGTGATATTGTTGTCTCGTGGAGGATGACACTCCTAGAGCGCGAGAGGTCTTTATGCTCTTATCCATATCCTGGAGCATGGTATCGGCCATGCTATTGAAGAGACCAAGGCCATCAAAAGAAAGGTCTTCGACATAGGACCTAGTATCTTGTGGAAGATTAGTATTGCGGAGCCAGGAGTGCCTCCTAAGGGCTATTGCTGAGGCCATTGTTCTGGAGGAAGCATCTAGGGCATGTTTGGAAGTGTTGATCTGCTGCTTCGCAAGGACCATGCCTTCCTTCTGAATAATCCTGGCCTTCTGAAGCTTGTCTCCGGGGAGGTGGGTCAGGAGTTCAGAGAACCTTTCCCACAGAGTGTATTGATATCTGCTTATGCAGGCCAGGTAGTTAGTGGTTTTGACCCCCAATGCACCCGTGGAGTAGTCCAAACGCGTCTAATTTCCTACTCTCCCTGTCAGAGGGTGCCGAGTGCGTTCGTTTCGACTTGGAGGAGGATGTTACGACCACCGAATTTGGTTGAGGGTGGGAAAATAAAAATTCAGCACCTGCCTCCTGGACTCTGTACATATGGCCCAGGCGTCTTGTTGACACTGGAGCTGATGAAACTTTTCCCATGGTGCTTTGGTAGCTTGCAAAAGGACCGTGGACATGGGGAGTGCAATGGTAGTGGAAGTATCCAGTTGCACAATATCAAAAACAGGATCGGTAACCTGTGGCTGTTGCTGTATGACAGAGAGGCCAGAGAATGGGCCATTCTTTTGACAAGGTCTGCATATGAAATGAGATTGTCGGATGGTGATATAGGGAGGTCCTCCGTGACAGCTTGGTTAGGAGACTTGTGGTCAGGGGAGGTTTGGATCTCCGAAGCCTCTGTATCAGAATTGTCTTGTCCGGATTCAGACGAGCTCTGCTCTGGCATTTGTACTGGAGTGACTTCCGCTTAACCAGTTAAAATCTTTGGTGGAACGACTTGGGGGTCGAGAGGACGAAAAGGTTCCGATTGATGGTGGGAAGGATCCTCAGCCGGAGGTCGAGACAGAGACGCTGAAGGTCTCGATTTGTAGGGTGACCTTGATCTGTGGGCAGAGTGGGTCAAGTAGCAATCCCAGTCGGAATAGCCCGCAGAAGTCAGCCAGGGCATGGATGGTGGATAACCACTGTAGAGGTATCTCAGTTGGCTTTGATCCCAAGACATAGGTGGTGGTGGTGGGGATAAAGGCTCAAGGGGGGGGTCGACTTCTGGATCGAACACGTCTCGGAGACAAAGGAATGTGCTGCCTTTGTGAACGGTCCGTATAAAATCGCTCATCGATATCGACAGGTTCGACATGCAGACGTGGAGGTTGACGCTGCGTGCTAGTAGAAATGTGTCGATTCCGACCTGTATCGATGTCGGGAGCTTCTGATACCATCGATGTCGACGACGAAGGAGAGAGGGAAGGCTTTGCACCCATGGGGTGACTTAGGAGCTCCACACTCTCGATGTCGGAATAAGGACGCTCTTGTTGTTGTATAGGAGAGTCCAAAAGTTGAATGGTCGGTATCGGTGGAGGAGTGTGTGTCTCTGATGTCGATGGAGCGCGGGGCACTTTAGGGGCATCACCCAGTGCAGACACCGCCACCTTCACCTTCTTTGCCGCCTTTAGGGGCTTAGAGGAGCCCTTTTTTGCAGACTTATCTTTACTTGCCTTGGGCCTCTTCTTCAGCGGCGTGGAGGTGGAGGATTGCGCCTTCGATGCCGGAGGCTTCGACATCGGTTGAGCGATGTCGGAGGCAGGCCTTGATACCGGAGCCGTCGAGGTCGAAGGTCTCTCGGAGTCCATCGCTGAGGAAGGATGTAGCGCCAATTCAAGTAGCGCCACTTTGAAGCGCGCAGCTCAGTTTTTTCGGGTCTGGTTCGAAAACCTAGCACACTGTCGGCAAGACTCGGGTCGGTGAGACTCACCCAAACAAAAAATACAGAGGGTGTGACGGTCAGGCGGTGCGAGTTTACTGCCGCAGCCTTTACACCGGTTAAAAAAGCCCCACTTCTTCTCCATAGAACAAGAAAAGTAGAGAAGAAAGAAGGGGTGGTAGAGCCCGAAGGCCAAGCTGAGGTAAGCGGCAACTTCCCCCTCAGGAAAAATAAGTTTAAAAAAAAAAAAAAAATTTAGTAGGTAACGAAGTAATACGAAAAAAGGAGAAAAGTGAGGGAAAAATCCAAAGAGCCGTGAGGCAAATAGCCAAAAATAGTTGAACCAATCAGACCGACGGAGAAAAAGTCTTTCCAACGCGGAGGTAAGAAAGGAACTGGCGGGATGTCCGCGCCCACCCCTCTGGGCATGCACGGTGGGGTTCCTGTGCATGCCCGAGGTCTGGGTGCGAAAATCCGTTAAAGAGCTTGCTACAATGCCTATCGATCCAGCATGTGTGCACTGAATCCCATGGGTGTGAAGCACAGAGACCACGTCAAAGATCTAACCTAAACATATGAAGCTGCCTTATATTGAATCAAACTATTCAGACTGGTGGCAGCTCTCTGGAGTCACAGGTCAAGATCTTTCACATTACCTACTCCATGTGTGTGTAACGTGCTGAGGTATAGTGACCCCAGCAAATGGCTTTCAAGGCAAGTGAGAAGGAGAGGCACATCACCTACAATTTAATTCCCCCCCCCCCAACTGGAGATGCTGAGGATTGAACCTGGGACCTTCTACATGCCAAAAAGATGCTCCCCACTGAGCCACGGCTCCTCCCCAAACTCACGTGCTTGGTTGGCTGCAGGTTGACGATCACCAGCTTGCCCCCTTTCTTCTTCGTCAGCAGAGGGAGGTCGCCGCTGGGTTTGATCTGCAGGGATGTTCCCAAGGTGACGGACAAGTCGGCTTTTCTGGAGTGGGGGTGGGGGAGGGAGGGAGGGAGGGGAGAGGAAGCAAAGCAGGTTTCAAAGGGTTAGGATGGGAACAGGAAGCACAGCACAAAAAAAACCCTTCCTCGACTGTGAATACATCCAACTGATCTGGTACACCTGACACTTGTTGCATCGTGTCCCGTGGCAGGGAGAATCACCCCACTTACCTGCAGCAGAACAAGGAAATGACACAAGAACTGAATCAGATGGAAGAAGGTCCACTGACTTGAGGATCCTATGACCTCCCAGCAGGGCATGAAGGGCAAAGCCTCCCACCACCACCACCACTGTTGGACCCAGCAGCCTCACAGGCATGTTGCGTCTGAGCATGGAGGATCCACTGCGCCCTGATGGCAAACTGCAATTGACAGACCTGACCTGACCTCCACGATTCTGCCTCGCCCCCCTGGAAACTGGAGCTATGGGAGATCTTACCTGCAGGCCTCGCTAGCCAGACTGAGATCCCGATCAGGTAGAGAGTCTTCCCAGTCCAAAATGGTGTCCATTAGTTTTCCTCTTTAAACCACCAACCAACAAACAAAATTAAAAAACAACAACGATTTACTGTGCTGTGGTTTCCGAATGAAGTACGTCATTCATCTCTGTCAAATGTTCCCTCTTTACTTCAGTGGAGGAACCCAAGACTATCTAGACTCCATCCAAGCTACGTAATCAATCCAGGAGACCCTAGGAACCAGAGGAACTAAGGATCCTTAACAGGTGGCTGAACTGGGCCCTACACCAGTTTGGTGTCGTGGTTAAGTGGTTAAGACTCTAATCTGGGAGAACCGGGGTTGATTCCCCACCAATGTTCCTTCTAAGCTGTGGAGTCTTGTGAGCAAGAATTCTTTTTTGTGAGCTACTGGCATGAAAGTGGTGAGCGAGCCATTTGGCTGCTGCATAAATTAGTCTGCTCTGGGGCCATCCTTCCTGAGCGAAGACAAAAATGTGTGAGCCAGAGGCTGAAAAACTGTGAGCTAGCTCACACTAACTCAGCTTAGAGGGAACACTGTTCCCCACTCCTCCGCTTGCACCTGGCTGGATGACCTTGGGCAAGCCGTAGCTCTGATAAGAGCTGTCCTTGAAAAAGAGCAGTTTCTGTCAAGAGCTCTCTCAGCCGCACCTGCCTCACAGGGTGTCTGTCTGTTGTGGGGAGGGGAAGGGAAAGGACTTTGTGAGCCGCTCTGAGACACCTTTGAGTAGTGAAGGGTGGGGTATAAATCCAATCTCTTCTTCTTCTTCTATACAGTGCTAAGGATGGCTTACAGTAATCCCCATGTAGCCCTCCACCTGGCCTGTAGCTACCGTGGGGCAATTGGGACCCCGCCCCCTTCCTTAAAGGGCCAGCCCCCTTCCTTAAAGGCCCCCCCTTTTAAAGGCCCCTTGCTTCTTCCCAAAAGCATTTAAAGGGATCCTTTTGAGAAGAAGCTGGGGGAGGGTGGCGCGTGCTCCTCTCCCTCCCCCTCCTGCAACATTTAAAGGGCCCTCCCGCTGACCACTGGGCCACATGCTCCCTGCTGATCAGCTGGAGGGCCCTTTAAATCTTGCAGGAGGGGATGGAGAGGGGCGCACACCACCCCCTTCATTATGGCAAATAATGACAGCCCCACCAGCTCCACCGTAAACATTTTTGCCCCACAAGCCACAAAATCCTGGCTATGGACCTGCCCTTCAGTAAGAGAGATCTACCTGCAGGACCGAAGCCCTCTGCGTTTGGAAACGTCACATAGCCGACCCGTCGGCTTCAGACCCATCGTCCCCACCACGGTGTCTCGTATGTACTGCCTTAAAAACATAGGCAAGAAATACAGGTTAAGGAGGTGAAAACTCCTGGAAGCCAATTAAAAAAGACTCCGGCTTCCTTTCCACCTGTTTTACTTTGCACAATTTGCACTGTAAACCAGCCCCCCCTGCCTGGCTTGGCTCCTTTCCTTCTGCTGCTTGGCTTTGTCGGGTCCTGTGCTGGGTAAACACAAACAGCTCCTTCAGTTTCACGACTCCTTAATAGTATTTTAATTCCGGGGGGAAAATGCAACGTGGCTATGGAGTCTCTCCGTGGGAAACTGCCCACCAACACGGCGAGCCTGTAGCTCAAAGGCAGAGATCCTGCCCAAGTTCAGTTCCCACAGTATCGTTAAGGGGCGAAGCAGGAGTTGGGGAAAGAACTTTCTCTGCTGGGGCCCCCAGACCAATCGGGGCAAACGATACTAAGCTAAAGGGACCAACAGTGTAGCTCTGTATTATACAGCTTCGTGTGTTCAAATGCTTTATGCACACACATGTGTGTGTGGGGGGGAATTACATCTATCAGTATCCCACCCTTTCCCTCAAGGAACTCAGAGCAGAGGAGGCAGTTTTTCCTTCTTCCATTTTATCCTCAAGACAATCCTTATGTGATAGGCTGGGTCACAAGAGAACAACTGGCCCACGGCTCAGAGAGTGTTGTGCCTGAGTGGAGACAGGGGCATAACCAGAAAATTTTGGTTGGTGGGGCATGGAGAAATTCGGGGGGGACGGGACCCCGGCCACGCATGCTGCTCCTCTTGCAGCAGCAGAAGCCGCCGCTCTGGCTCCGCCGCGACCTCTAGTCCAGTTCCCTTCCTGGGAGGGACCCTTCCAGATTAAGGACTGCATTGGGGACGTAAAATATCTAGTCCAGTTCCCAGACACAGATCTTCCTTCCTGGGTTTATCACACCAACTCTCTACAGCCCTTCCATTCTCGGGAGTTTATTGTGTGTCGTCTTATCCCCGAACTAACAGAGGAGTTTGGGAGTCCTGAGGACATGTGTGTGGGAGGTTTAGGTAGCGGAACTCACCTACTCTCCCTTATTCACTAAAACACAAAGGGAAGAGGCCAGACAGTTATGTGGTGAGTTTGCTGAACAGTTCTCAGTACGGCCAGGTTGCCCTGCGATTGCCAAGCACTCCATTTTCACTGGGGATGAGCCACCCGTGGCTGAGAGAGCTCGCAGGATTCCCCAAACCCAGAGGGGCAAACCATCGAGAAGGAGCTGTTAGAGATACTAGCTGAAGGAATCATCAGGCCTTCCGAAAGTGCTTGGGCTTCACCGGTGGTGTTGGTAAGCAAGCCAAATGGGGAAGTCGGGTTTTGCATTGACTACAGGAAACTCAACAAGATCACAAAGCCTGACCGTACGATACCCTATGCCGAGAATCGATGATTTGCTGGATCAATTGGCCCCGGCTAAGTAAATTTCAACTTTAAACCTCACACGAGGGTATTGGCAACTTGAGCTGGATGAGCAGGCCACAAGGGCCTGTATGAATTTAATGTACTTCCATTTGGGATAAGAAACGCCCCAGCTACCTTTCAGAGAGCTATTAATAAACTTTTGAAGGGGCTGGAGGAGTTTGCCTATCTGGATGACGTGGCTGTGTTCTCGCAGACCTGGGAACAGCACCTGAAACACCTTTGCCAGGTGCTGGAGAGAATCAAAGCTGCTGGGTTCACTTTGAAGGCCAAGAAGTGCCAGATTGGCCTTAACCAAGTGACGTATTTAGGACACAAGGTGGGGGCAGGGACAATCTCTCATGGGCAAGCCAAGGTCGAGGCTATCCGGGATTGGCCTGTTCCCAGGACCAAGACTCAGGTCTGGGCTTTTCTAGGGCTGGCTGGGTACTACAGAAAGTTTGTTCCTGACTACAGCAAGTTGACCTTGCCACTGACTGATCTCCTAGGCAGAAAGAAACCGGAGAAGCTAAGTGGACAGAGTCATGCCAAAGAGCCTTTGCCAGCCTAAAGAACTCCCTTGTAACTGCACCAGTTTTGAGGGCTCCAGACTTTGACAAACCCTTTGTCCTCACCACAGATGCTTCCAACTGTGCGTGGGGGCTGTTCTGTCTCAAGAGGGGCCTGACCAGGACCAACACCCTGTTGCTTTTTTAAGCAAAAAACTCACTGAGCGGGAGGCAAGTTGGGGAATCCCAGAGAAGGAATGTTATGCCATCATCTATGCCTTAGGAAAATTCAGGCCATATTTATGGGGCAGACCTTTCCTGCTGCAAACAGATCACTCCCCTCTGCAGTGGCTCCAGACAGCCAAGCTAACTAACCCAAAACTTCTAAGGTGGAGCCTTGCCATGAAAGACTTTGATGTTAGGGTGTAGCACATTGCAGGGTTCAAGAACAAGATTGCTGATGCCTTTTGTCCAGGAAGACCTGCAATGAAAAGTAACCTGATGCTGTATTCTCTTTAATGTTGATCAGAATATTGTTTTACTGTTTTATTATTGTCTGTATATATGTAAATGGCAGAACCAGCACAGATCACTCTTATGCAGCCCTCATCCATGGGGTTCCTGATGGCTGGACCCCATGATTTGGTCTGGTGGGGGGGTGTCATGATCTGTGTTGGACTGGGAGACAAAGCCTAGTGAGGCCTAGGCCCAGGAGACCTGTGTGGGAGTGGAAAGCAGACAGAGCCTACAAACCCCACAATGCTTGGCACCAGCTATAACCAATCGGTTTCCAGGGATTGTATGAGGGGATTGTTACAAAACCTTAGTGGGCTGTGGAACTGCGTTCTTTTCTCTCACAGAGTTAAGCTGAGAGGACAGTCTGGGGGGAGGGAAAGATCCCTCACTTGTGACAGAGTGAGTACAGGCACAAGCCTGGTATAAAAGGCTGTGGGCCTTGAATAGACTTTTCTATCCAGTTAAGAAAAATAGGTAGCCGAGTTAGATTTGTTTTATCTACCTTTAAGCACTGTTATATATTAAGCACCTTGTCTTGTTTTCCTTGCCCCATTACTGTATTAATAAACCATTTTAATGTTCCCTGCCTGGTCATCACGCCTATATTTCTTGACTTAAAAGGGGCATTTTTGGCTGGGCTTGGAAGGGTACTCTGGGCCTTTCCAAGGGACCCTAAGTCCAGAGTGGTGGCAGAGGAAGGTGGCAACCCATGGGGTAGCATGAAACCTTCAAAAAGGATTTTCTAATCATATATTGTTTAAAATACTTATGTGAATCTGATTTTCCATACCACATATCAGCGTGCCAACCCAATAATAGGTCATGTCCCTCTAAAATTAAAAGTCTATTATTTTCTAACAATATCCATTCTTTTACCCAAACTTGTGATGCTGTTCTATAATATAAAAGCCAGTCTGCTAAAGCAAATCCAGCTCTTTCTTTGGCGTATTGCACATTTTTTGATCTTTATTCTTGGTTTTTTATTTTGCCATATAAACTGTGATTAGACTTTCTATTCTTTGAAGTAGTGTTGATTTGGGAGTACTGGTATTGTTTGAAATAAAAAAATCAGCCTAGGAAGAATATTCATCTTTATTGTAGCTATTCTGCCCATAAAGGATATTTGTAGGTTTTCCCTTCTTGTTCTTTAAGTTTTTCTGTTGATTTTAGTACATTTTTGTTATCTAATAAATCATATCTCAACAACATGCTTTTTTGGAAAAGGTTAGGATTTGTAAAAGCTTCAAGTGGTGAGACCCATTTAGGTGTCTTGGTATAAAATGATTTTTTGCCATTTTCCCATACTTTCAACAAGGATTTTCTAATCATGTGTTGTTTAAAATAATTATGTGAGTCTGATTTTCCATTCCACATGTAAGCGTGCCAACCCAGTAAAAGGTCATGTCCCTCCAAAGTTAAAAGTCTAGTATTTTCTAATTGGATCCAGTCTTTTATCCAAACCAGTGCTGCTCCTTTATAATATAAAAGCCAGTTTGGTCAGGCAAACCCAGCCCTTTCTTTGGCATCCTGTAGATTTGTCATCTTTATTCTTGGTTTTTTATTTTGCCATATAAATTGTGATGAGACTTTCTCCAGTTCCTTGAAGTACTGTTGATTTTGGAGTATTGGTATTGTTTGGAATAAGAATATCAGCTTGGGAAGAATATTCATCTTTATTGTAGCTACTCTGCCCATCAAAGATATTTATAGATTTTTCCACTTTTCTAAGTCCTTTTTAATTTCTGTCATAAGTTCTATATAATTATCTTTCATCAAGGAGCTTGATATGATTGTTATTTTTATTCCCAAATATTTCACTTTTTTGTGATTTAAATCCGGATTCCTCTTGCAGTTGTTTCACTTGGTCCCTAGTCATATTTTTGTTAACATTTTTGTCTTGTTTATTGATCTTCAATCCCGCCACTCTGCCATAATTTAACAATGTGGTTAATAGCTTTGTAATTTAACTCAATAGATTCTTTAAGATGAATACCAAATCATCTGCAAATGCTTGTAATTTATATTCTTCTCCTCTTAATTCCTCTAATGCTTCTGTCCTCTCTAATCATATTAGTCAATATTTCAACTGCAAATATAAGTAGTAATGGCAAGAGTGGACAACCTTGTGGACAACCGTTTTGTATTTCAATATATTGTGATAAGTCTCCATTAATAAGAATTCTTGCCTGTTGTTTAGTACATATTGCTTGTATCATTGTAAAAAATTCTCTCCAGCTGATACTGTCAAATGCTTTTTCAGCATCTGAAGGCCATTTGTTTCTCTGGATGTGCTTCAAAGTATTCAATCACGTTTAGTACAGTTCTTACATTATTTCTAAGTTGTATTTTTGGTAAAAAAAAAACCTGCTTGATCTTGATGGATTATCTTTGTCAGTATTTTTTCAATCTTGCTGCCAAAATAGAAGCATAGTTTTTATAATCTACATTTAGTAGTGAAATTGGCCTATAGTTTTTAATTTCTTTCTCTTCTGAGTTTATGTATCAGAGTTATTAATGCCTCATTTCATGTTTCTGGTATTTTACCATCTATTCTTATACTCTGCATAATATATTTTAGAGGCAATGTTAGCTGTTCTTCAAAGACAAGATAAAATTCTGCTGAAAGGCCATCTGGACCTGGAGTTTTCCCTTTCCTTTGATTCTTTAGTGCTTCTGTTATTTCATATATAGTTATTTGTTCATTTAATATTTTCTTTTGTTCTTCTTTAATTGAGTTGTGCTCCTTCAAGAAGTTTTGGATTTCTTCTGGTGTGGCGTCTCCTTTTTGATATAGGTTTCTATAAAAGTTCTCAATAATTTTCTTTATGTCATTAGGTATATTCTTTTCATTTCCTTCAACATCTTTTAAGATTTTTATATTTCTTTTTTCTTTTTCTTTCCTTATTTTATATGCTGGCCATCTAGTTGGTTTATTAGCATTTTCAAAAAAGTTTTGTCTATTTCTTCTGACAACAGACAGTTCATTTGATGTTGTAAAAGTTTTAGCTTCCCTCTTAGTTGATTTGCTGCAGTGTCTCATTTCAGGTTTTCTTCCTGTTTCTTGATTTGTTCCTTGATTTGTACAAACTTTTCCGTTCTTTGTTTTTTTATATGAGCTGATTCTCTAATTGCCCATCCTCTAGTATATGCCTTGAACGCATCCCATACTATTCTGATAGATATCTGGTTGGATGTTTTGTTCAAAGAAGCCTTGACATTCTTTTTTTGTTTCTTACAAATTTCATATTTTTTAATAAAAGCGTATTGAAGGTCCATCTATTTTTCTTTGGAGCATCCTGTAATATAAGAATAACAGGATTATGATCTGCATATGTTGCTGGTAGAATTTCTACTTCTATTAAGACATTTATAGTTGTTGATGAGATCAAACACATATCTAGCCTAGACCATGACTTATGTCTTGCTGAGTAAAAGGTTGAGTCTTGTTTCTTAGGGTTTTTGGTTTTCCAAGCGTCAACCAGACTATGTTCTTCTGCTAGTTGTAAGAATGTGTTGGGTAATTCATTACCATGTTTTTGTTTTCCAGTATTTGTTTTTCTGTCTACCTGTCTATCAAAGACAGCACTGTAGTCTCCAATTAGACAAATTTCATCATAATTTTGTTTGGAAATAAGCTCCTGAAGCAACATCATAGTTTTCTTGAAGTTGGTGGGGTGCATATATATTTATAATTAGGGTTATTTTACCTTGTCTTTGTATTTGGACTATCAATGTTCTTCCATCTTCGGAGCTGTGTATTAATCCTGATTATAAATGTTCTTTCACATATGTCACTACACCTCTCTTCTTTTTTTCTTTGTCTGAAGATACAAATTTCCCCCCAATTTTTTTATTCCCCCAAATTTTTAGATCAGAGTCCTTTATATGGGTCTCTTGGAGACATATAACATCTAATTGCATCTTCTTTAGTTGTTGGGAAACTCGCCTTCTTTTTTGGGGTGCATTCAGTCCATTCACATTTACTGAGATTATCTTTATTTTACCTTTATCCATCTTTCTTTTGTGTTTTGTTATCATCTTTTTTTTAAGTCTTGTAATCCTCGGGGATATAGTAGTCTTTCCAGTTGCTCCTTTTTTTTGTTTGGTCTCTTCACCATTCTCCATCATTTCTTCTTCTTCCTCTTCTTCTTCGTTTTTTAAGTCAGCACCATGTGTTTTAATGAAGCCTTCCACTTTAAACATGGAGTTTAACGAGCACTTTATTTGTACTAAGATTGGTTTTTAAATTGCATAATGTTTTAATTATTGGAATAATATGTTTTATTGTGCAAGATTCTTGCCTTGTAAGCCGCCCTGAGCCCTACGGGGGTAGGGCGGGATATAAATCTGATTAATAAATAAAATACAATAAAATAAATATATTTCCCCTCTGCAGGGAGGTCCATGGGGGCTCCTAAGGAGTTTAAACCCCCTCCAAACCTGGTGATCCAGATCGGCTTTATGGGAGCTCTCCCAAAGCTGTCTGCCCTCGCCGCACTGAAAACCGGAAGTTTGATTCCGGGCTGCTTTTATGTGTAAGCCGGGGAGGGGTGTGTGTCTCTGATTCTCTCTCTTTCGCATTTTGCAATTTTATTTTATTTTTTGCAACATTATTTTATTTTATTTGCATTTTTAAAAATCTATTTATTTTTCGGCCCAGAAAAAAGACACTGAGACTGAAGCTTCCCTGACTGTGCCTGGGGTCATTCTGGAAACCCCATGCACATCTTACATATTCAATTTTTAAAATTTGGCACACATCTGTGAGGGGCATTGCCTGAGTGGGGATTTGAACTGCCCTTGTTTAACATGGCCTAATTCATGGAAAGCAACCTTGGGACAGCATCCCTTTCTTATTTGTATACAAGGTACTGAGGGCAAAGGACCTTCAAAACGCAAAGCACAAGACCACAGCCTCTCCCACGTGGCACTGTAAGAAGCAGAAGAACCAAAAGGGCAGCAATGAATGGTAAGAGGATGGGAGGGCCATGAACATCAGCTACCCACGGACTCAAAAGGTTCTCTCGCTCTGCTTCTACAGTCCCTGCTCTTCTCCACAGACCCAGTTCCAGAACAGCAGCAAAGGGGTACATACTTGCCACATTTCATACATTCCTCCACGAACATGTTCCCATGTAACTCTGCCAGCTTATCTCTAGGAGGGAAAGGAAATGCAATTGTTAGGGGAAAAAAAACAGGGGCAGGGTATGGACCCAGAAGTGGGCTTTTCCATTCACAGGATGTTGTCTCCTCCCTTCCACTCTGCTCTGACAAGCATGGAGGTTCAGGCAGACATATACGATTCTCCCTCCACCTCTGTTTTCTTGTCACAACCTCCCCACAAAGCAGGCTTTTGATTTTCTTGTATCAAGTGTACTTCCGCTATTAGGAAGCTGGGAAATCCCGGACGAGAAGTGTGGCTCCCGAACAGGCCTATTCTCAGTCCCGCTCTTCATATAAAAATGGAGCCGGGAGAAGTGCCATGTTACCTCGGGAACCCGGAGCGCACGTGAAGTCCGTCCACATTTTGGCTGACTAGGAATCGCAGGATGCCCTTCCTCTGTAGCTCCAGGAGGGCCATGTGGGTCTTGGAAGGCTGCGCGTTCTCGAAGGTGGTGTCGAATTTGGGGGCCAAGCCTCTCTCCTCCATGGTCCAAACGCCGTTGGGGCCTCTGTTGGGAAGCAGGGAACAAACACCCAACTGTTAGTTAGGCACTGTGGTGTAGTGGTTAAGTGCGCAGACTCTAATCTGGGAGAACCGGGTTTGATTCCCCACTCCTCCACTTGCACCTGACTGGATGGCCTTGGGCAAGCCATAGTTCTGACAAGAGCTGTCCTTGAAAAAGAGCCGTTTCTGTCAGAGCTCTCTCAGCCCCACCTACCTCACAGGGGGTCTGTTGTGGGGAGGGGAGGGGAAGGGAAAGGAGTTTGTAAGCTGCTCTGAGACTCCTCTGGGTAGTGAAGGGCGGGGTATAAATCCTATCTCTTCTTCTTCTGTAAACCAGCAGCCATGAGAAAGCAATACAAACCATCGTGAGGAGGGAGGAAGGGACCTAGGTTTTGACCTCCTGTATATTCTGGGTTTTGTTGAGGCAGGAGGAATTGCTAAAACAGAGGGCAGATGAACAGAAGAGGAGACATGCAGAGGGGAAGATTGGCACAGCGCCACAGGAACAGCACTGCAGGATCTAGACCAAAGGTCTACCTAATCCAGCATCCTGTTTCCTGAAATAACCCAGCTAATGCCTCCAGAAAGCCCAAGAATAAGGAACGAAGGGAGCAAACCTTCCCTTTTGACAGCATCTGGTATTCAGAGGTATACAGCCTCTGAACAGGGAGGCTCTATTTAGCTATCATGATTAATAGTCATTGATTGTTTGTTTTTCTCCATGACTTTGTCTCACAGCCATTTCCTTACCCGACAGCCACAGTGATGTAGCAGTTAGAATGGTGGACTATGACTGGGAAGACTGGAATATAAAATGAGATTGGATTTATACCCCGCCCTTCACTACCCAAAGGAGTCTCAGAGCGGCTTACCATCTCCTTTCCCTTCCCCTCCCCACAACAGACACCCTGTGAGGCAGGTGGGGCCGAGAGAGCTCTTTCAAGGACTGCTCCTGAGAGAACAGCTCTGAAAGAACTTGTGACTGACCTAAGGTCACACCAGCAGCTGCATGTGGAGGAGTGGAGAATCAAAACCGTTCTCCTAGATGCTCTTAACCACTACACCAAACTGGCTCTCTGCCACTCTGCCATATAGCTCATTGGGTGGCCTTGCTCTCAACTTGGCCTAACCTCCCTCGCATGGTTGTTGTGAGGAAAGAATATTTATTTATGTACGTAATTCATTTATACCTTTCTCTCTGTTGGGGACCCAAAGCAGCTTACATCATTCTCCTCTCCTTCATTTTATCCTCAAAACAACCCTGTTAGGTAGGTTAGGCTGAGAATGTGCAATTGGCTTACAGTCACCCAGTGAGCTGCCATAGCAGAATCGAAATTCGAACCTGGGTCTCCCACATCCTGGCCTAACCCTACACCCCACTTGTGACAACCATGTACACTACTCTGAGCTCCCAGTTGGAACAAAAATGTGATGGAAATATTTATTTATTTTGCTGAGTGTACAGCATACCTCCTCCAATTAATATTTACAACAACCCTGTGAGTAGGTTAGCCTAAGAGAGAATGACTGGCACAAAGTCACCCACTGAGTCTCAGGTGCAGAGGAATTTGAACCTAAATCTTCCAGGTCCTAAGTCTCCCCCTCTAAACATTGTGCCACACTGGCTATCCTGATATGGGATAAAACAGGGGGTTGGGGCACCCTTGATATTATATGAATAGGGACTCTACACTTGTTCCCTCCCTGGAGTGACTTCATCCACTGCCAATCAACCCCGGGCCACTCTGCACAGCCACATGACTTGATTTACATGGCCAACAAAAGTTGTTCCTTGGTCACACCTGGATGGGAAAGGACACTGGAAATTAGCTTCTGTGTTCCTTTAAAACATTTACATCCCTGGCTCTTTTGATGGAAGAGGAGAAAGAGAAAAGAGGAGTAGAAGGAGGAGGAGGAGTTGGATTTATACCCCGCCCTTCACTTGGAGTCTCAGAGTGGTTTACAATCTCCTTCCCTTCCTCTCCCCACAACAGACACCCTGGGAGGTAGGTGGGGCTGAAAGAGCTCTTTCAAGAACTGCTCTTGAGAGAACAACCCTGAAAGAACTTGTGACTGACCCAAGGTCACCCAGTTGGCTGCATGTGGAGGAGTGGAGAATCAGACCCAGTTCTCCAGATTGCATTCTGCCACCAAATTGCATTCTGCCACCAAATTGGCTCTGAGCAGGCCAACTCTAAAAATACACGCGCGCACACACACACACAGAGCAAGGTTTTTAAAAACTGGACAAAAGCACATTGCAAATTAAATCAATAGAAGAAAGAGAAAACTATTAGGCAGAATCATTGAAAACTCACCAAAGGCTTTCAATTCAATATGGGTGCCTGGCCAATGAACCTAGAGAGACTATTCTGCAGTTGGGTTGCCTCCACAAAAAAGGACCCATTCCTTGATCGCCTCCCCACCTATCTTCTGAGGGCATTTCCAGACAGCTCTAAGCATATCTCGGTGTTATACAGAAGCCACATAATACTTTGAGCACTGTCATGATCATAGGCCTACAGTGGAGAGGCCTGCAGGCTCCAGGGAAGCCTGTATTGGAGTAGCTATCAGGGCCTATATTTCCCAGGTGACCCTGTGATTGGTTGACGGGATTTTAGAGGGAAAACTACACCAGCAAAGGAGCAGAGGGTGGTTCCTGGGAAGAGGAGATAAGAGGCCTTGCCCAGAGTGGGGGGTGGGGTGTTTCCCACTCCCACTCCATGCCCCAGTAGGAGTCGCCAGTAGGGGTCGCTATGACTTCCAGGCACACAAACAAAAATGCAAAAACACACACAAAAGGTACAATAATGCTGGCTGTTAGCACCTTAATCTTGCCATGCTCCTTGTTGCCCTAGATGTCTTCTGATAGAGATTGTTGGGGGGGGGGACGACAAAGAAAAAAGAAACTGTGGCTGGATCAAGGCCTGTGGTGTCTCCTGGTGCTTAGAAGTTTTGCTAGCTTCCAGGTACCCCTACCATTCCCTGGGCCTGTTGCAGCAGGTGCTTAGGTCCAAGCAACAGTGGCTTGGTTTGGACCAAGCTGGTGGCAACACAGGCAATCAAGCCCCCTCCAGGGTCATTGCCATTTGCTCTGGTCCTGTAGTGGGCTGATTCCCACAATTGAGTCGTGGCACGGCACCAGCACCCTCCTGATTACGTTGCCCCACCATGTTACTCCTTGGATGGTGTCATGACCCTGGGCCTATAATAGGGAGGCCTAGTGGCTCCAGGGAAGCCTGTATGGGAGTAGCTATCAGGGCCTACATTTCCCAGGTACCCTCTGGACCTTGTGATTGGTTAACGGGATTTTGGAGGGGAAACATATGCCAGCAGAGGAGCAGAGGGTGGTTCCTAGGAAGGAGGAATAAGAGGCCTTGCCCAGAGTGTGGGGAGGGGGGTGTTTCCCACTCCCAGGGAGCAGGGCTGGTGTGAAGCTGCTGCGGAAGGAGGGATCCCGCATCTGAAAGGGGCGAGTCAAGTCTGTGCCCGGGTGCCCAGGGAAGGCTACGTGCAGCATAGTCAGACGCGTTGGGGTTTCTTATTTTGCTGGTTTACCTGCCTTTAATGTGCTCATTTTTTCCTGCATGTTTTTGAACCACAGTTGTTATTCAATCTCTTTCTAAATTAGTTTGCTCTGGAACCCTCCTTTCTAAGCGAAGACAAAAATGTGTGAGCCGGAGGCTAAAAAACTGTGAGCTAGCTCACACCAACTCAGCTTAGAGGGAACACTGCTCTGGGCCTTCCCGAGGAGACGCCTACCAGAGCGGGGCAGCCATCAGAGAACCTTTCTAGCCGCTGTCCATGACACATGTAAAATGCATTTACGTAAACTCATACTGTCTCACGAGCACTTTGATCCTAACAATGCCCCTGAAAGGAAGGCCGATGCTATCCTCCTGCTGTCATCTCATACTCAAAAGACTCCTGGCACGGGGCTTCTCTATTGTGGCTGCATTTGCTATGTGGCCACGGTTGTGGGAATCAGCCCACTACAGGACCAGAGCAAATGGCAATGACCCTGGAGGGGGCTTGATCATGAACAGACCTCTCTTGCCAAAAGGGGAGGGGGGGGCAGTCAAGAATGAAACTCCGACGGACCTACTCGAGAAGCTGAACAAAGCCAGAGAGGGGCTTGCAGTCCAAGATGGCTTCCCTTTCAAGCCGGTATAGACTTTTTCATCATCCTGACCGTCCTTGGCAATCAGCAGCTCTGCTCCTGTTCTTGCTTAGTTATGTTGTTGCTGTTTGACCAAAAAGATCCTCAAATCCGATTGAAACAGCAGTGCCAACTTCTCTTATCTCCTCCACCCCAGATCTCAGATTTCTTTTTCACCCCATCTGTCCGTCTGCTGACTCTGAAATCCACTTGGGATAGAAAGCTCCAGCAAAGGATGCTGGGAACAGCACTGAAATACCTGGAAAATGCCTAACGTACTATGTGGAATGGTGCAAACTGAGGCCTCGGAACTTTTTTTTTTTTAACATTTTTATTGAAGTTTTGCAAGTCTATACAACTGTTAATATAACCACTTCAATTTCTACATAAAGTGTTGAGTACTAATAACATCATAATTAATGCATCAAACTTTAAGAACAATTGAATATTTAACATATAACTCGTTGTGAAGATCATTTAAAAGTCATTTCATTTCGAGCAATAGGTGATGTAACAGTACAACCATTAAACATTGGACTGTAGAGAAACCAATTAGTAAGACTTTTCTATGCGTGAAGTTTTGATCTGATGGAGTGTAATGCAAACTATAGTATGTTATACCAATATTTCCTGACTAAAGCAAAATCTACCGATCATCTCTTTTCAGAACCATGTGATGTATTCTTCCCAAGAAGGTGGAATAAATTTTTCTCTTCCTAAAAAGGTAAGGATAGGAAACCACTTTGCACTAAACTTTAAATCAGGCTGGCCTGTCTTTGCGGTATAGCATCTCCCAGTGATACTTTCCATGATGTATTGGTCCCATAGTTTTTGGAACCAATCCT